GTCACATCACCCTCCAGCCTCAGTTTCCCCATCTGTACAGGGGGAGCAGGGAGGTTCGCTTTACAGGGCTGTGGAGGGAGGTCAGCAAGGGCCTGTGACCTGCAGCAGCTCCACCTCTTTGGTATTTCCATCGACTGTCCGGGCTTCCCCACAAAGCCACCCCGTCTCCCTTTGCTCCCCTCAAGGGGAGCTGGCAGATGGGGGGAGGGCAGCAAGAGGCAGAGCAGGGCCGAGTGTGGAGATGGGGCTGGGTCTCAGCCCCGCGGCACCAGCAGGGCTAGAAGCATTCCCGCTTCTGAGGGCTCTGCCCTGTGCTCTTCCAAGTCACTCGGGGTCTGCGGACCCTGTCCTCCCTCCCATGGGAGGGTAGCGCAATGGGACTGCGAGGGGTGTGTCACCTGCCTGCCCATGCCCAGATCTGGACACAGGCAGGGGTGGGAGAGGCAGGCGGCCCGAGGGCCAGGCCCCTACCTTGTCCCCCTGTTCCTGGGCGATGTCCAGGTGCCGCTGGCAGCAGACAATGGCCTCGTCGAATCGGCCCAGGACCTTGAGCGTGTTGCCCAGGTTCCCGCTGGCCTTGGCCTCCCCCATGCGGTCACCTATGGTCCTGGAGAGCAGGAAGGAGTGAGGGGCCAGACTGAGGACTGGCCAGGCCCCTGAGCCCAATGGGGAACCTGGGTGTGGGGTGGGGCAGGACTGGGCTTTGGGGACCAGCGTGGACTGACTGGGAGCTTGCATCCCCCGGGATGATGCTGGGAGGGGCCCCACGGCTGGGTGGGCAGAGCCAAAGGGCAGCCCTGGGCCAGGCAGCCAGCTCAGGTCCAGGTCCTCTGCTGGGCCAGGTCTGGGGAACAGGCCTCCACCCACCACTATGAGGGGTACTGACCTCTAGGTAGTGCTCTGGGTCACACAGACACACATAGAGTCAAAGATGGGCACACACGGATACACACGGAACACTGGGCCACACACCATGCTCACACTCAACAGACATACAGACGCACTTACATGTCTCGGCTTAAACACAGCCCCCTCAGGGGGCTTCCCTCCCCAGCCCCTCTCCCAGGTTAAGGGTGCCCCACTGGGGACCCCTCGACCCTGAGAACCTGGTCATTGTCTTACATTGGAACTGCCCCCTCCCCTCCTCCCTGAGAGCAGGGTAGTGTCCACCCGCCCACCAGAACCTCCAGATGCTGCTGTGAGGTGCAGCCAGCCCGGTAGGGCCACCTGCTTGGGGTCCAGGGCCCCAGGGCTGCCCTGCCCCGCCACTTACCGGGCCAGCAGGAGGTCATGCTTGTGGTATTCCAGTGCCTGTGCATACTCCTTCAGGTAGAAGTAGGCATTGCCCAGCTGGCTGTAGATGGCACTCAGTGTCTTCAGGTCCTCTGTGCCCCCCTGCACGGCAGCCTCAAAGAAGGCCACGCCTGCCTTGAAGTCGCCAGCCTTGCACAGACGCTCGCCCTCCAGCGCCAGCTCCAGACACGAGGCCTCCATCCTGGGCACAGGGAGGGGGCATCACGGACCACCCCTCACGTGGCTGCCCCTTGGGGCCCCGAGTCCTCCACGGCATCACTATGAATGCTGCTGCCCCAGGATGGGCTATGGCCTGAGCCACACCTGTGCCCACAGATGTTAGCATCTCTTTGGGATACGTGCCTTGAAGCGGGTGCCCGGCCCGACGGCTCCCCAGACTGGTGCACCTGAGACGCTTACCTCTGCCCAGACTCACCGCCACTGCCAGGGCTCAGGAGCACCATGGGGCGAGGGCACAGGGCTGTGACCACAGCAAGACCCTTGGGCCACAGTGGCTTGCTCTTGAGCCTGGCCAAGCCCCAGGGAGCAGGAGTGGCCTCCACACCCTGCCCTCCCCCAACAGGCACCGCCGCCATTCTCCGGTGGCTACAGCAGCCTGGACTGGGCCCTCTGACTGCCACCGAGGATGCCCAAGGCTCCAAGACTGTGGGCAAGCTGGCCACGGCCACACGGGTGGGAGCTGATCCCAGCCCCACCCCGTCCTGCATCCTAGGGCGGGACCCCCCACCATCCAAGCTCTCCAAGTAGGAGCTGGGGGCTAACCAGCCTCCTGTCCTCCAGGGAGACCTCTGGTGGGTAGGCGTGGCTGCATCTAGGCAGAGGTCACCCAGTCCCCAGCCCCACCTCGCCAGGCCCCACACCCCATAGACCGCACCCAGGACTGGCCTGAGACACAGCTGTACCCACCGCGCTGTGGGAGGAAGTGGACGATGCTGTGTCCCAGCATGAACTCAGCCCCCTGCACAACCACTCCAGATTCCTGCCCCCAAATCCCGCCCAGCTCTAAGGGCCCAGGTCCCTGTGTGAACACCAATGCCCTTGCTGGGGGCTGCACCAGCCCCCGTCNGCACGGCAGCCTCAAAGAAGGCCACGCCTGCCTTGAAGTCGCCAGCCTTGCACAGACGCTCACCCTCCAGCGCCAGCTCCAGACACGAGGCCTCCATCCTAGGCACAGGGAGGGGGCGTCACGGACCACCCCTCACGTGGCTGCCCCTTGGGGCCCCGAGTCCTCCACGGCATCACTATGAATGCTGCTGCCCCAGGATGGGCTATGGCCTGAGCCACACCTGTGCCCACAGACGTTAGCATCTCTTTGGGATACGTGCCTTGAAGCGGGTGCCCGGCCCGACGGCTCCCCAGACTGGTTCACCTGAGACGCTTACCTCTGCCCAGACTCACCGCCACTGCCAGGGCTCAGGAGCACCATGGGGCGAGGGCACAGGGCTGTGACCACAGCAAGACCCTTGGGCCACAGTGGCTTGCTCTTGAGCCTGGCCAAGCCCCAGGTAGCAGGAGTGGCCTCCACACCCTGCCCTCCCCCAACAGGCACCGCTGCCATTCTCCGGTGGCTACAGGAGCCTGGACTGGGCCCTCTGACTGCCACCGAGGATGCCCAAGTCTCCAAGACTGTGGGCAAGCTGGCCACGGCCACACGGGTGGGAGCTGATCCCAGCCCCACCCCGTCCTGCATCCTAGGGCGGGACCCCCCACCATCCAAGCTCTCCAAGTAGGAGCTGGGGGCTAACCAGCCTCCTGTCCTCCAGGGAGACCTCTGGTGGGCAGGTGTGGCTGCATCTAGGCAGAGGTCACCCAGTCCCCAGCCCCACCTCGCCAGGCCCCACACCCCATAGACCACACCCAGGACCGGCCTGAGACACAGCTGTACCCACCGCGCTGTGGGAGGAAGTGGACGATGCCGTGTCCCAGCATGAACTCAGCCCCCTGCACAACCACTCCAGATTCCTGCCCCCAAATCTCGCCCAGCTCCAGCTCTAAGGGCCCAGGTCCCTGTGTGAACACCAATGCCCTTGCTGGGGGCTGCACCAGCCCCCGTCCCCTCGCCTTTGGGCAGGGTCTTCAGAGAAACCCCTTACCCTTGGGCTTTGCACAGACCTAGGTGGGGTCCCTGTCACCCAACTGCCATCCCAGGGCCCTGCTCACTGAGGAAACCACAGCCCCCGGGCTGCATGTGAGCTGCCCTCAGGACATGTAGCCAGGGGACGGAAGCAGGTGCTGGGGGCCACTCAGGCTGCCCCGGCTCCAGAGCCTCCATCTCCTCCTCCAGCTGCTCCTACTGGTTAAGGGGCCTGAGCCCACGGCCCTGCCCAAGGCGGGGAGGGCTGTTAGTGGGGGCACGTGGGGCCGGGCAAGCAGGCAGTGGGGGTCCTGCCACTGAGGGACGCCTGCCCGACCCTCGGCCTGGTGACCTGGAGAAGTGAGAGGTGGGCTCGGCTTCGGTCCCAGCCCTATTGTTGTTTCCTTTCCGTTGCCTTTTTCTTTTTTTCTTTGGCAGCTGGCTGGTTCGGGGATCTGAACCCTGGACCTCGGTGTCATCAGTGCCGTGCTCTAACCAGCTAAGCCACCGGCCAGCCCTCCGTTGCTTTCTGCTATGACCAGAGGCTATGGGAAACCCACAGAGAAATTTAAAATGTCCACACCGAAAGCCCCCGTGGCACCCCAAGGCCCCTCTTCGGTGATGTCAGGGTGGTGCAAGAGCGATTGTGGGAAAACAACGTATTTCTTCAAGAAAAGGAAAGAGCCGTCTGGGGCAGCGTTTCCCAACTGTTCTAACCAGACACCCCTTTGGTACAAACCACAATGCCCTGTTCACTTTATTACCAAAAAGCGGGGGCATTTTAAACTTTCCCAAGATAATGGGGCCGTGTGACCACACGGGCGAAGCTGGATCCCTCTGGGAAGAGGGCCGAGCGCCCTGCACACCGCAGGCGCAGAGCTTTTCTGCCGGGGAAGCCCCGCACCTTTGCTGTGCCCCTCAGCCCTGGCCCTGCCTGGCTTGGGGCTCCTCCGGTCCCCCAGGAGAAGGAGTGGCCTGAGTTTTCAGGACAGAGGGAGTGGCCTGAGTTTTCAGGACGGGGTGAGCAGATGAACGACGGGGGCCTGGATCCAGGGGTACCCAAGACTTGTCCCCCATGCCAGTCAGGCTTCTGGGACCCACTATCCTGCTCCAGACCAGCCCTGCCTTGTCCAGGCACCTCGGCCACCCTGCAACCGGTCGAATGTTCAGCAAGTACCTATGCTGTGCTTGGCCGGAGCCCTGGGCTTGGTGGGCGCTGCCTCGCAGGCACCAGCGGTTGCTGCCTCTTCTGCCTGCCATACAAAGGCTGGTGGGAGGGAGACTGGGGGCGCTGCCCTTTCCTGGGCATACAGTCCAGGCACCACTGGCCAGGACCCCGGCAGGGGCACAGTGCCTGCATGGGCCTCAGTCAGATGTCATAAAATGGGACATAACCACAACTCAGGCTATGCAAGGCAATTCCAAATGGTGCTAAACTCTCACACGAGGCATTGAGGTCACTCCTCTCCTCTGTGCTGGACGCCGCAGACCCTCAGGCTGTCCACCCACCCCAGCATACCAGGGCCTCCTGGGAAGGGCCATCCAGATGCCACGTCGGTTGCAGGAGCCCCCAGTCTCATGGCTACCGGCTCCCCAGTCCCACTCCTGCGGCCAGCACCATGCTCGGGGCTTCTTAACTAGGGCCTGTTTGCCGAGTGGTCTGACACGGCTCACTGCCCTGCTCCTTCCAGGTGAGCAGGAGAGGGGACGTGGGGTCTGAAGCGTGGGTGTTTGCTGTGCTGCGCACGCTGCTGGCTGGCAGATCCGATTGCGGCGGCTGCCTCTCCTACCCCATCTCCGTCTTGGCCCAGAGATGTGGCATCAGCGGCTCACAGCAAAGGAAGCTTCTGGCTTGGGAACATCCTGGGGCCTAGAAGTCCTGGGGTGGGGACACCAGTGGGGCATTTGGCATGGTACCCAAACCTGGGATCGGGGGCTCTAACTGGGGCCTGGCAACACGTGGAGCCACCTGGAGAGGCCCCAGTGTGGTGTCGAGGAGCCCCCACCCACTCCTCATCCCAGACACCCCCAAATCACACTTTGCTCCTCCAGCAGGGCACTCCTGCCCACTACCCTGTGCCCGCCGCCGCACCTCTTCCTCTGCAGGTTTCGCATCTTCTGCACGTAGAGCCAGAGCTCCAGGCCCACGGGCAGCAGCAGCGGGCGGGGCCGGGGGGCACCGTACACCACCTTGCACACGGCCTTCTCCGCCAAGCTCAGGGCCAGAGGCTGAGCCTCCACGGCCGGAGCTGGCACCGTGGGGCTCTGGGCCTCCCTCCCACCAGCCAGCTCTCGCCCCACCATGGCCATGGATCCTGCAGGATGTGCCAGCCTTGGGGTTCCCCTGCACTGCCACCTCCGGGGTGATGAGCAGAAGGCCCCCCACAGCCTCGGCTCCAGGAGTCCCAGGCCCTCCAGCAGTTGCTCTGGGGCCTCCCTGGGGCCCGACGTGGATCAAGGGCAGCTCAGAGGCCGGATCAGCAGCGTCAGCAGGGGGCTGGGCGGGCAGGCAGGGGAGCCCCGAGGTAATCCTCTCTGCGACGCTCCTCCGGGAGCGGGCAGGGGGCAGGGGACCCAGACTCTGCACTCAGTCCACCCCGTCACTCGCCGACTCTTCAACAAACCTGTATCCTGTGCTGACCCTGTGGCCAGCTCTGTGCCAGAGCCCGGGTTGTTGAGGAGCACCGGGCACGCAGCAGGTGATGGGTCAACACTTGTGAATGACAGAAGGACCGGCACAAGGAGTACGTGAGCACCCCCCCCGAAGCCCCTGCTCCCCATGCCGGCCCCCCGGGGAAGCCCAGCAATGCCCGCGATGTTGGCAGAGGCTGGCAAGCCAGCCCTAGCTCTCCAAGCTGGGAAGCCCACCC